ATTAAAAATGCGGAATATGGCAATTAACTTGTTTTCCATGAAGCGGGCCACAACAGAAGTTTAAAATTTCAGTTTTTGCTTGATTTTAACCTTTCTTGGTTATGTTTATGATCCTTTCGTTTTTAATATTTTAAGTTACTTTGTTTTCGTTATATTTTGCCTTTTCTATATTATATTCAATGTCTATTGGAATATGTTTCAATTTTTGATATTCTCAGAAACATTCTCTTCGTCATTGACAATAATTATAAATGTTGATTGATGATTACGTCAAGTATTATACTGAACGCAGTCGTCCAGTTAACTGGACTGGTGGGATATTTTAGTTACGATTATTAAAATATCTCGACGTCCAGTAAAATGACATTCACTTGCAGCTGTCAAATTGACAGATATCTTACATTGGATGTATAAACAATGTATCTGTATAATAAATGAATTTGAAATACTATTATTTGCTTCTGCGCCCACGGAAAAGTTCATTCAATTTACCCTGGCACACCTGCTAACCATGCATGAAAGCGGTTTTCGGTAACAGCCTTCTTCTCCAGTGAATCAACCACAATATTTATGAGGAGAAAAAGTGAACTTCGCCTAATTCCTTGAAAGTGTGCCAAAAACAACAAAAAACTATAAGTACCTACCTTTTTCCAGAATCGTCTACTTAAATTGCTTTTTGATATTTTAACCAAGGAAAGTTGAAATTCTCAAGCGTTTAGGGCTACTGCTGTAATTTCCAGAGCGAACAAGCGAAAGCGACAAAAGTGTTGTGGAAATTTAACATGTTCAAAATTTTTACATGATAAATTGATCATGTGCACCCACACTGCATAGTTTTTATGCAAATGTACACAATTATTTCTAATAATTTCCACAAACAAAAAGAAGACCAATGCAAAAGTTTTACGTATCATAGCAAGGTATTCATGTCTGCCTAATTTATCGAATAAATGAAACAACATTTTACTTTCTAAAAAGTTTTATTTATGTGGGACACTAAATATCTATTACACATATTAACGACTTTTACACAATAATGTCGACTTTATGTTTCCCTAAAGAGTGATTATGTATTAATATTTTTTGTTTACCTTATTGTTAAATAGTTAGGAGACGTTTTTAGATTTCAAGATGAGGTGAGGGGTTTTAGAAGAGATAAGTTGCTGTAATTTCTAGCTTGAATTTTGTTGGTTTCTCGAGTAAAGTAAAATATTTTCGCTCATAAAACTTCATTCTCAAAATTAATGTTTTTTTTTTTTAAATGCAAGATATCTTGAAGCATGTGCATGTACTGTCTTTTATGCTGAATTTTGTTAGAATTGCTGCTAAGTGGTTCAGTTGCAAAGGTTTAAACCAACATAATTGTTTTTTTTTTTTTTCTAATCAAAATAGCTACGGAGGTGTATAATTACCACTTTTGCTATGTCTCGATTGTGTGACGCCACAATAGAAATTGACTATTTAGATAAAAACGGTTAAGGACGCTTTGCCAAACCCCCATGTTTGATATTTTGGAATAGTAAGATCGATTGTTTGGTCATACCTTGCATTTAACTTATAACAAATTCTGACACTATGAGACATTATGAGAACCAATAAAAAGTATCGTTCTTTAAGAGTGCGCTTCTCGATGCTGAAAAAATAGGTATTTCGCGTTTGCGACTATGCTGTTTTTATAAAAACAGTTGCATCTAAGGAATTCTAACAAAAACTGTTTTTAAGAATGTACTTTTGTGCTTGCTTGACCAGTAATTTTTTTTTGATTTTTCTCATTTTTTGAAAAAAAAAATTCATAAAATGAGAAAAATCAAAAAAAATTTACTGGTCAAACACGCACATAAACATATCCTTGAAAAAAGTTATCGGTTAAAATTTCCTAGAAGCAACTGTTTTTATTAAAATAGCAAAGGCGCACTCGCGATTTTCAGCATCGAGAAGCGCACTCTTAAATTTATTTTCTTTTATTGTCATTTCTCAAGGGATTTTTTTTTTGTGTTATTTAGATTTATGATCATCAATTTTTTCTTATTTAGGGTTGTATGTTTATGGAAAGTAATCCATTCCTTTCTGAACAAGGTGCAATGAGACATGCAGGTAAACTTCAGAAAGTAAAAGAAGTTAAGTAGAGAATAAAATAAATTGTGAGTTTTTTTTTAAGTAGAACATTTCAACTCTAGTGTACCTAGGTATATTTCACAATTACAGGTTTAGCCAATTTGCAATAAATAGAAATAGATGCATCTAATGCTAAGAAAAAAAATATCATGTAAGAAATCGAATCACAGGTTACAAATAACAGTTAGGTAGGTGTATATTTAATTTTCAATAAAAACTTAAATATAAAAATATATAAATAGTAGGATTTTCCAACAACAATTACATACATATACTTTTCAATTATAAAATGAGTATTTTTTGTGATTTCTAATCGAAAGTATCAACACATACACATCACATGGGTAAAAGCACTTTTTTAGGTGGTCTATATATTATAAGCCAGCAACGTAACGTTCCCTCTTAACGCGAAATGAACCAAATTTTGCCCATTTTCATCAACCAAAACTGCTCGTCAGCTTGCTTGCTGAACTTGGGTAATAACGGCGCAAGCGTGATTAAAAATAGGTAGATTCTGTTTAATTCGGAAGTGCGAGAATATGCAGAAATTTTATTTTAAAATCCTAAGTAAATTAGATGTGACCACATAAATTTTAAACAAATTGCAGTTCAAACATTTTTTAGCATTCTAATTTTTTTTCATGGAACAAACAAAAACTTAGACATTTTTAATTACGCCTATATCCTACTCATTCAATCAAGAGTTCAGGCAGCTGCCGGTCCATTTCGATCTCACAACAAGAAATTGACCTCTATCAGAAAAAAGACAAATGACTAGATACAAGAGGAAAAGATATACGTTCTTGAGAATGGAATGATTTCCTTATAACAATAACCTTAATTCTTTGCCTTAATGCGACATCAAATAATACTTTATAATCTATAATTGAAGATAAGGGCTAGGAAAATCAGTATTTGTTTTTCGGCTTAGCAGTTTCCCAAAAACAAGGACTTATAGCAAACATTTATTGTCCATTGAAAATAGAATAACAATAGTTTTTTTTTGGGTCGTTTACTTACCCATTTCACAACAACTGTGATATTGAAAAATACTTCCGTTTCTCAGAAATACTAAATGTTCTCCCAATGAGTGGAGCAAATTATTGTATATTTCAAACTCCACTCCGTCATATCACTGTAAATTAAATTCTATAGAAATAGTGGTGAAAGAGGTTGAACATTTTGTAGCTTGTCGAAATATAGAATAAAGTCGAGAAAATTTCTCATAAAGCTATAGGTATAGGTACCTGGAAAAAGATTCAGAAACGTGTAAAGCACGTGAAAGTCGAAGAAAAAAGATGTGGCAACTAGACCACATGCTGGAAGGGGAAACAAAACCAATTATTTCACCAATTTGAGTGAAATAACTGACGTAATCAGATCTCATCTGATTCGGATGTCCAAACTTGATCTGGAAATATCTTTTAAGCTGGTAAATTTACTTTTTTGTATAAACTAATAATTTCCTTGGTTTTGTTCGTTAATAGCTATAATAAATGTTTAAAAAGGCAATGCCTTGAGTATTTTTTCTTAAACATGAAAATATGCCTGATCCTATACTATGCGACGCCAATGATAGATCTAACTCTGAAGGGACCATTCATTTTGAATGAGAGCATTGGACCATTTTTCAGGGTTTCGACTCGGGTTTGATCCTAAGGATTTGCTGATATGCTATAGGTATTTTAATAGAAATACGAGAAATTCAGTTTACTCCCCTGGTAACCAGTTTTGCATAACTTCGCATAACCTTAAATAAATAAACTGCTGGACAATAAATTGCTTTCGAGCAAAAGGAAAATTTCGCCTAACTATCAAGCTTTATAGTTTTGGAACCAAAATATCGACCTCTGGTTTCCACATAGCAATTTTCTTCACAGAAAGTCAGCCCGTGAAAAACGGAGGTCGATATTTGGTCTGGTTCCAAAAATATTGAGCTTGAAAGTTAGGCGAAAAAATTTCCTTGCTCGAAAGCAATTGTTCAGCAGTTTAGATTCCCTACCTTAGTATTTCTGGGAAACACAAGTAAATAAGCATCATTCAATTTAGTAAACATTTAATTTAGACCCATTTTGCCAATGCCCTTATTTTATTAATAACAAGTAAATATAACAACTAGAAACTAGATTATTTCATGGGTAACATAGAAAACAGTCAATAGAAAACACTTTGAGTGAGAGATTTTCAACAATTAACATGCATCAGGTATAGTGGTTCTTTATTGATCAATTTTATTGACTTTGAAAAGGAAAGTTATGTCACAGAAGTTGAGCTAAATAAAATAAAATATAGTAAAGAAAATACATTTTTTTTAACGATAATTTTGTAAAATATTTTGTACTTTTGAATATAACCGTTAATATCCACTCAAATGCTATGAGCGGTAATAGTTAACATTATTTTGAGAATAAAGCAAATTACGAAAAAAAGTTTACGAGTAGTAAGTACCTAGTTACTTTTTTTAAAAACAAACTGCATGCTTTTGAAAGATATTTTGCACAAATAGTTTTTTTTGAAGGTTTTGGATTGGAATAGAAATAAAATTCACATCACTTTCTTTTTGTCGAAACAATCACGAATGAACAAACCATTTCAAAATAATCAGATTCAACAATGCTCTATAAAAATATGAGTAGAGTTTTTTGAAAACTTCTGTGACCTATGAAAGCATTTATTTGAGAAGTTCTACATTTATAACAATACATTGGTAGTGTTTATGACATTTATGAGAAAACTAAACCCTTATAACTACAAATCTCCGCGGGCGTGCGTATTCCAGTGGCAAATAATAAACACACAAACATTTTGCCGTCCTAAGGGCTGTTTTTTTTTGGGGGGGGGGGGGGGGGGAAGGAAAATATGCCACTGTTTTAATGTTGAGTAACTTACGATTGTCCTGCATCTAAATGTTCTTCCTCTGAGGAGTAGATCTGTGATTCAGCCAGCGATGACTGTTTTGACAATGACTGTAAAAAATAAATTCGCTTAGTTAACTTTTCCAACAAATTCTGGAAAGTTTTTTTATGAGCCCGTCTGTTTGTAAACCTGCTTCTAAACTGAGAGAACTGCGACAACATAAACCCTAAGCAAAACACCACACCAGAGTAAATTTTATTTATGTTTTCAAGTGTGGGTGTAAATTTTTTTCTTATATAAAATACAATACCCTCTTTACTACCTCAAGGCCTATTTTTTATCGCTCTCCCCCAGTTTTGTCTTGAAACATTGTCGTATTCTTTCTAGGTCAACTGGAGAAGTTGAAATATGGCTGGATAAAGAGCTTTTGTGCGCTGCTAAAAAAGTCTAGAATTTACATCAGATAATTCTTTTCCATGTAAAAACCTCTCATCGAATACAGGCAAGCGTAAAAAGAAAACTTTCCATTTTACAAAGTTAGAAAAAAGGCGAAATATTCCTAAATAGGAAGATAGGTAATTTTCCCTGATATTTTTGCCAGGAACGAATTATTGTGACAGCATCAGGTATTTTGCTGTGTCGCACACATTAAAAAAATCATGTGCAGCATCGTACACGTGTTAAAAAGTGAAACTTCTTAAAAACTATTTCCGCTTATACAACTTTAAGACTGCGTATGAGTCGGGGTAAAGACGAAGGACCTCACAAAAGGGAGACGCGCATCTGTAGTGACGTAACAAGGGTATCGGCGCATGACAATAACGCTCTGTCCAACGTGAACCCGATACGAGCGGTGCGTGCGATGCGGTACGTGCGATGCGGTGAACGTCTGCGTTTAAACCTATGTATTTAAATTAGTATGTCCTAAGTAGATGCATTGCGCGGGCGTTGCGGGCGATTTTGTGTACCCGCAACGCACGCTTTGTTTAAAATACAAACATGTTTGAATTTGCACGCAGAACTCGTACGACGGATGCCGACGACGGAAGAATTTATTAATGAAATTCAGAAACGTGATGTTTTATGGAATAAAAGAAATGCATTTGGAATTTGGATCTGCACGTAGCTGTTGCCATCTTCTTCTGACGATTGTTTATCCTTTGGGTCTTCAATGGACACTGCTCGTATTCTAGGTCGTGAGGCACCAAGGATTGCTTCCAGTTCCAATGCTCGGTCAAGGGCTTCGCTACTTTTTCTGAACTTGGACATCCTGAGGTTTTCCTGGATCTTGGAATCTCTGACATCATTAATAAACGCAGATACTGCCATCCATTCCTGCATGTTTTCCCCAGCTGCAGAAAACGCCAAACTCACTAGCGTTTCAACTTCCGATTCGACTTCTTGTAAACTCTTTCAGTCGCCTAGCCTCTTCGTCTTGTTTTTCTTGTTGTTTAGCTTCTTCTTGTTGTTTTTCTTTTTGTCGTCTTGTTTTTTTTTGTAGTCGTTTAGCTTCTTCTTCTTGTTTTTCTTTTTGTCGTCTGGCCTCTTCGTCTTGTTTTTCTTGTTGTCGTTTAGGTTCTCCGTTTTGTTTTTCTTATTGTCGTTTGGTTTCTCGAAGTTCCAACTTTTTGCGCAGAAGTTCTTCAATTTTTTGTTCTTCCATTTTTGCTTATTGTCTCGTAATAGGCATATACAGAATGTTCTGGAATTTCCCTCAAATTCTCTTCAAATATCTTTCCTGGTCTTTTATTGAAGTTCCAAACACGTCGGTGAAGTCACAAATTGGATAACTTGCTTTATTCTCGAATAGAATGTTCTAGAATTTTCTTGTAATTTCTTTTTTGGATGTCGATTGAAAATTCAGTATCACAGTCAAAATCGGGTATACAGTCACTTCCGGGGTAATTTACACAATCGGTTAAGTCTCTTTTGGTTATTGTCACTGCTTACACTGACTAACTGCCCCAGTGTCCACTATATAGCCCAAAAACTATTATTTTGAGCTTTCAAAACAAATTTTCTGTACTATCGACAAGCGCCATTTTAAAGAGAATTTAATGCCCTTCAAAAAGATGTATCACAACATACCCCTTCCCATTTGTAAAAATAAGGGCTATAGCCGCCCACGCTAAGGGGTTGAGGTTATAGGGATGAAATTATTAGTGGAACGTGTCCCGCTGAAAACAAGAGTTCACGGGTCCGAGATTTTTTTAAAATTTTTACAAAGCCGTAAACGTTGCTGGACTGCTTTCGATGGGCCACCCTGTATATATATTCAAGCATGTTAATAATTTTTCAGAATGATAATGCATGTAGTTCTGTTCACTTGCAGCGATCACGCTATTTTTGTCCCTATGCCAACATAATTCCTTTATAAACAAACAACTACAATATTCACTCAAACTGTGTATATTATAGGGGTGAAATGGGAATCTTTGTAATCTAGATTACGAACAAAATGTACGGTACCAAATCTCTTTTTCTCATTTATCGTCGACTTTTGCAGAGGTTATTCTAACGTGCAGTTGGACCCAAAATGTGCAGTAGGAAAAGTAAATTGTGCAGTGGGAAATTAAAATCTGTGTAGTTTTCATTTATCACAAACAAATAATTTAGTTGACATAATATGCTACACATGAGAATACAATAGCACTATTAACACATTTACTCTAAAATTTAGTGCTAATTTTCTCCCAGCACCACCGAAAATTCTCCGTTTGCAAAAATACCTTGGTACCATCTTTGCTGTTTGGCCTGTGCTGTTTCCTTGACTCTGTGCTGATGCTTAAATGAGCGTCAACACAGAGTCAAACTAACCCAAACCATAGTGGCTTGTCAAGGATCCCACTCTGATAGATAAGGAATGTGGTGATAAATATATGTCTGTCCCAGTGTCTACTATAGTGTCCGCGCACTATTCTGCAATCGGATTTCACTTTGCAGTTCTCGAATTATATCGCACTTCTGACACCAATGCTACGGCTCTGGGGTGCGTGACAATAATCTTGGGTTCGTTTATTCCAAAATCAAAGTCCAATTAACACAACGATAATTTAGTCCACAAACTACTAACTGATACCGGCCTTTATACCGGGTGACAACGAAATCGTTATACAAGGCGTCATTCAGTTGTCTTTAAAGTTAAAAATTTGAAAATTGGGTGGAACGGGTAAGTCATTGAGACGCACATTTTTCGTAAAAAAACAATTGAATATCACCTCCGGTTACTCCGGAAATGGACCCAAGTCAAGAAATTTTTATGGAACCCTGTATATTTTTTTGCACAGTTGAATAGAGCTTAAAATTCCCTTTCCAATGACATATCACAACTTGCATTTGTTTCCAAGATGGCGGCGTAAGAAGGTATTTTTCTTAAATTCAATATGGCGGCATTCTGACGTAACCGATAATGTTTCTGTCAAACAAATACTTTTCCCAATCCATAATTTTTAGATTTGAAATGGTTTTACATCGAATTTGAAAAAAAAAGATTTTGCTCAAAAACAAGGGCATTTCAAAATTTCTTGGAAATGCAAATTTTAGTTTCAAATTTTCTAAAAATTTTGAATAGGAAGAGGTACTTATTAAATTCTAGAATTAAAGTGTGTCCAATGGCCTACCGAAAAATGTCTACCAAAATGCATATTCATTTTTCGGTTAAGGTATGCAAAGGTTAGATCAGAATGCCGCCATATTGAATTTAAGAAAGTGCCTTCTCACGTCGCCATCTTAAAAGCAAATTCCACTTATCATATGTCGTTGAAAAGGGAATTTTGAGCTCTATCCAACTGTGTAAAAAAATATACAGGGTTCCATAAAAATTTCTTGACTTGGGTCCATTTCCAAAGTAACCGGAAGTGATATTCAATTGTTTTTTTATGAAAAGTGTGCGTCTCAATGACTTACCCGTTCCACCCGATTTTCAAATTTTTAAATTTAAAGACAACTCAATGACGCCTTGTATAACGATTTCGTTGTCACCCGGTATATCCGCAATCTATTCCTGCAAAATCCAGAATAAACGCGATAACCCTTCTTCCCGAACAGCACCGCAAAATCTAGAATCAGTTGTCCAATTCTGTACACCATGGCGCTTCTGCCAGATTCTCGCGACAGTATCTTCAATTTATTCTCTGTTATAACTTAAAGATATAATCCTAATCCAAATGAATACCTGCGTCGATATATTTCTTATTCACGAATAATATCGAAAAAACCATCGTGAAACAAAAACAGTTCATCGGCAACGTTTTCCGATTGCCTGGCACCATCATCTAACCATCGCTCGTTCCAAATTCTGATGGTATGATTTCCAACGTAGACTGGAATTCATTGTGTTTATACTACCCAAAAGTTTGTTGAATTGATGAAAGTAGATTTCATACTAAACAAACACAACGTCCATTATTGGTCGGAAAATAATCCCCGATGGATGGAAAAACTCTTGTTTTCAGGTGGTATTTGGAATACCTTAATATTTCGGTTTGTAATTTAAATAGACATTTCTTTCTTCTAACATCACAACATCCTCCGAAATTCGTTTCCAGAGGTTCTAAAATATGAGGAGGAGTAGGGCATGTGGAAGGATACACAATAAGTCTTTATAATGGACATAATCAATCCATCAATCAAAATATTTTCCGATTTATCAACGCCGTTCAATCATGTGGCAACGGGGAAGGGCTCCACGCGATCATGGCACATTGTTTCAGAATACTTGGATGGAATATTTCTCCAAAGGTGCATTGGAAATAATTAGGTCTCCTGACTCGACCCCCATGGATTTCTTCGCCTGGGGTTATTTAACCGACATCAAAGACGGTGCAATAATGATGAAGTGTGTTGTGAAAGATTTTATAAGTAACGATTGGGAGATATTTGTGTAACATTTGTGAGAGATTTTGTAACTCTGGTGACAGATTGTGTTACGATTATGATAGATTGTGGTCTGATTGTGTAATGACTGTGTCAGGGGGTAAAAAGCTGACCCAAAATGTGTACACCTACTACCAAATTCCACAATCTTTAAGGAAATTTGCCAAGATTGTGAGTGATTGGTACGATTGCGACTGATTGAGAAGTGATTGCGACTGATTGTGATTGAAAATAAAGTGAACTGAAATTATTTTAAGGATCCTCACGTGCAACAGATGGTGGTAGATTGTGTAGCGATTGTAAGAGATTGTGAGAGATTTTATAACGAGTGTGAGATAATGTGTAAAGATCGTGAGATTTGAAAATGATTGTGACAGATTGTGACAGATTGTGTGACGATTGTGGTCTGATTGTGAATAATTGTGTGTGATTGTGTAATGATTGTGTCGTAGGGTGAATAACTGACCCAAAATGTGTACACCTACTGCCAAATTCCACAATCTTTAAGAGGATTTGTCAAGATTTTGTACGATTGACTGATTGTGTGATGAATGATGATTGCTACTGATTGTGAATAAAAATAATGTCAACTAGAATTATTTGTAGGAACCTCACGTGAGACAGATGGTTGTTAGATTGTGTAACGATTGCGAGAGATTTTGTAACGATTGTGAGACATTATGTAACACTTAGGAGAGATTTTGTAAAGATGGTGACAGATTGTGAACGATTGTGTTCTGATTGTGTGTGATTATGTGTAATGATTGTGTCGAGGGGTGAATAGCTGACGCAATCTTAGAGGAAGTTTGCTAATATTATGAGTGATTGTGTACGATTGGGACTGCTGGTGTAATTATTGCGACTGATTGTGGACGATTGTATGTGATTGTGTAATGATTGAGAGAAATATACAATAACCTATATTTTTTCGTAAGTTGAAATAATTAAGGTATAAATCAACAAGGGGGTTATAAACTAAACCAAATAACTGTCAGCTTGATTAAATGGAATTAGGATTTAAGTATCAATCAATATGACCTAATTTAGATTTTTTTGATACAAATGCATTTAATTAATTTGGAGATTTCAAAATCATTTCATTTTTGTTATTTGTATGAAGGATTTGGAAGTATTTATTCAAAACATGGCGGTTCTTTTTTAGGTGCTCGGCGTAAGCAAATTTTATTTTATCATAGGATGGGAGTCTTTTTTATTTCCTTCACCTGTCAGTTTGAAACTGGGTCCTGTTTGTGCGTCTCTTTTCGGTCAATTCAATCTTTTCACTTCAATTTTTTGGTTTCCTAGGGTAAGAGGTTCACCTGGACCTGACTCCAATGTATTGGCTAGGCGACTGAAAAGGTTTGACAAAATATGTCATTTTCGCAAGTCAAATCACAAATCTAATCATTTATTTATTTACGTGGTTCAACACCTATACGCCTGAATTAACTACTGGTGGTATCTTGGCAGTTGGCAGGGAGTCACGGAAATAGATCAGTTTTTATAGGAATATGAAGTATAAGCGGCGGGTACTTTATCTTACTATTACTAAAGAAAGCATACGATTTGCCTCATGCATATGTTTAATGATAATATGGACATGGATACTATGACATCATTCACAAACTTGTCGAATTTATTCCGGGAAACTTTTGACATAGGTATTGAGTTTTAAAATGCATTTTCCCAAATTTCTTTGTTATAACAATAAAGTACGTTTTTTTATTTCCTGCATAAAAGCTCTCAGGTCTCAAAAGGCGAAGAAAGGCGTACCAAAGGAAAATAAGTTAATCTTATAAAAAGATAAAGATTACGCGATGGCGCGCCAAGGGAAACGAACAAATAATTTTTAAACTGACGGATACAAGAAAAAGAAGCAAATACTTTTATCATTTTTCTTTATGCTTTAATTCAAATAAATAATTACCTGATGTAGTTTTCTTCGATTAGGAGGTGATCTCTTGTTCCAAAGCGCCTCCAACTGATCAAAGTGTTGAGATTGTGCCAAGGAAGCTTGTTTCGAGCCCATTCCCTGTGAAATTGATTCTTTGCTCATTTTAAATGTATTAAATTGTGCATCCAAGTGCAAAATTGCTTCCCGAAATTAACAAGAATTGGAAAGTTTTATATTTGAATACTTTAAAAGCGAAAATAAAATATCTATCTACCAGATTTATTTCAGCCGATAATAGAACGTAAATTTTTATTCATGAAAGTACTTAATTGAAATCCTGAAAATACAGATGATTTACATGATTTTTTAAAAAAATACCTTTTGATCATTTTGTGGTATTTTTGATATTTCTTCCATGCTAGCTGACACAGAAAATCGCCGTTTAAATCTTTCGTCAATAGAAGGAATCACTAAATTCGAAGTCAGATGGGCATATTTCTTTTGCCAGGTATAGGTGTCCAGAGACACCTCCTTTTTGAGCAGTCTTTTCATTTGTCGTTTTGGTGCCGGTTTTGGGTCTAAAAATATATACTGGTTGGAGAAAAAGTTATCACAAGAAAAGGTTTTGACAGTGACACAATTTAGTAAAAGCTGAATTTTAATTTTTAGTGTGTCATATTTCTAACGTATTGTTGATACGACGCATTACTGCTAACGTCACATGTTGAGATAAGGTTATGCTTGCTGTATCTAAACAAACTTTGAGCAAATATGATTTAAGAAATGGTTACTTTTGAACAAACTGTTTTTGTATAATGGTTCGAAAAAATTTGGAGTTACCCTCCTCCTTACCATCCTTGTGATATATTTATCTCAGGGAAGACAAAAAGATTTAAAACTTGAAATTTGATTAAAACCATATTTTTACTTAACGTTACCTTTTTCATCTGGTCAAATTATTTTTTTTTAAACATTTTCTTAGAATTAAAAACGTATTTTCCTAAACTTAGAACAATGGTACAGTGGATGTAACTATCACAATGTCAGAGATTAGTGTAGGTAAATTAAAACGGACTGAAACTTTGTTCAGATACAGGTTGTTAATTTATGACGTTACACTAAAGAAGCGTATTGCATACTGTTTTCGCGAAGATAATCAAACGTTAAATTTTGAAATTTATTAAGTTTTTTTTAGACAATGGGGGTTATCTTTTTATGTGTGTACCTATATTAGCATTTGTGTTGGAAGTGTGGGGAGGTAACTAGAGCCCCCACCATTCTATTGTTTAGCTTGAAACTTATTTCTAGATTACTCTTAACCAAAGAATGTGAACTTTTGAGTATTGTAAGTACTTCAGGTTATTGAAATAGCAACAATCTCTATCAACGAAAAGTTAGCGGAAAGCTACTATCATTCCGCCATAAGAGCTCATATAAACTATAATTTCACTGGATTTTCAAACTGCTGTGAATCTGTTTAGAGTTTATTAGGTTTCTGTCCCATGTAATCATAAACAATTAAACAAGCATGGCCCTCTAAATCAAGATAGCTATTGATATTTTCAATTCTACGTTCTTTGGTTAAGATTAATGCGACCAAAATCTAATTTCTCTATACGTTTGCCAGTAATGTTATTATTCCAGTCAATCGATTTTCAGGCACCCTGTTAGTGAACAACTTACTCTCAGTTATATCCTTATCGGGAGCACAGTACGTCGGCAATTTGACATACTTAGCTGGAGTATTGTGCAGGCAAATGATAGGACTGTATTGAGTATCTTTAAGGAGAACTGCAATCCTGGAAAAGTCGGAAGTAGGCTCCACACCAACTATTGGGTAATGCAACTGTAGAGACGTCAATTGCAAACCTTGCTTTGTGTCCCAGATTATTATACTTTTGTCGTCTGAACCTATATAAGACGTTGATTAAACTCTTGAATGTGATTGATTGAAACGTACTATGTTGCTTTTATTGTCGAAATGTGTTTGCTCAATAGGTTAAATTTATTTGAGGAGAGTAAAGTAACAAATATTTGTTTTTTTCTAACTTTAAGACATACATCGATAACTTTATATTTGCTTTGCTGTTTCATAAGTTAAATTATTTTTCTTCATATTTATTGGAAAAAAAAGTAGGTTAGATACTTACCAGAAATAGCAATAGTACCATCGCCACTCATCTTACAACAGCTAACAAAACTCAAATGTACCGATAACGTATATAAATCAGCTCCTGTATTAATATCCCATACAATCAAATTGTTGTCACAACTACCAGATACAACATGAGTTTTGTCAGATACTCCTACTGCTACACATGTTACTGTGTCCGTATGGCCAATTAAAACCTGAAACAATATCAATTTATAAACATTATATCAAGAATTAAAGGGGTCATAAAATAGGTGAGTTTTTATTTTGCAAAGCTGAATTCTAAATAAAATTTTCTAAATGTTGATATACCTAAGGATTTGAAATGATTGAACCGGTACTTGGAGGACGTTGAAATTGAAATCCATTGTTGGAAAAGCGAAATTAATATAAAATATAACTACTAGATTTTCACTATATTTATTACCTAACACCTGTAACATGTTTCGCTACACGAAGCGTCTCATGAAGCTACAGCGTAACACTAATCTAAGTTGGTAGGTACTAAAAATTAATGCCTCATTTTCCAAAAATATATTTTAAATTGGGCATATCCAAATTATTTTGAAGTACGAAACTTGATAAAACTTGAACTTCATGCGAACCAAAGGTTGGACCCTGTCTCAAAAGGAAGGTTAAATAAAATTCGAGATAAATGATGTGTTAAACGAGAGATTATTGTGAAAAAATGTGGCATAACAAAAATTATTCATATCAGAAAAAACTGAAATTTCCTTGTTTTGCATAAAATGCTGAATAAGATAATTTGATTGCATTTTGATTCCAAACTTGTTTCAGCATTCAGCATTAGACAGGAAAAATGTTAATGCGCGATAAGCAACGTTTCAGCAAAGGGTAGCTGGCATAACACATTGGGACAATCACGTTGGTTCATAAAGCATTTAAATGACCCTTCTGATTTAGATTGCTTTAAATTGCCGTAGCGAAAGTTCAACAGAATTTATACTGCAGAACATAATAATTATACAGGGCGACCCTACCAGTAAGTTTAAATCTATGTCTTCGGAAAAAAACTCTTTACCTAGATCGGCCCGGGAAAAATGTTCATGAATATTCTCAAATTCCTTTAATTACCGATAGGGGTCGCAATTATTATATTCATTTGTAAACGGGATATTGGTAATTCGATACATTCCTTTGGAGATGTGATAGGGGATGGGGTTAGGAGTAAATTTAACCGTAACATGCCTAAAAATTAATTAGCAAAAAATCTAGCGTACATTTTTTGAACTTTTCTACTGGACTACTTGCCCAACACTATGGTCTTATATTTGTGATAAAAAATATCCGGAAACTTTTTCGTCATAAGAAAATTTTAAATAAAATCTCCTGAAAAATATTTTTTAAAAATATGGTATAATTTCTTATCGGTTGGAGAGATTTTATTTAAAATTTTCTCATGAGGGAAATGCGAGGAGGAATGTTTCCGGATATTTTTTATTACGAGCTCAAGACCATAGTGTTAGGTAAGTAATGCAGTAGAAAAGTTGGAGAAATGTAGGTACGGTAGATTTTTGCTAATTAATTTTCAAGGCAATTAGGTCCATGTTTTTAAGAAAAACAGAAATATCTCATAAACTATTGAGTTTTGCATAAAGCATGTTACGGTTAAATTTACTCCCTCGTCCCCTAGCACATGTCCAGAGGAATGTATCGAACTACCAAAAACCCTGTATAAATAAAAATTTTCTGCTCTTTTGATAGTGTAACGCAGATTGAATAGCTGCATCGAAAATAATGCATTTTTTGTTTTAGTTTCATTATATTTCCTGTTTCTCCGACAATGTTGTTAATAGTTTTCAGGAGGATAATTGCCGTTGGAAATAGGCATACCTATATTTGGTCCATTTTTGCCCCTTATTGAACCTACAAAAACATGTTCAAAGTCAATAAAATCAACCTAATTCAGAAAATAATATATAGGGTAGGCTCGAAAAAACCGGATATTGTTTTGAAGCTATAACTTTTTTTGTTGTTGAGCAATTTCCTTTTTTTTGGCTTGTTTGAAAGAGAATTGAACAGGCTAACGAATCAAAGTGAAACTTTTGACATTTGAGAAAAATTCAAAATGGTGGACATCTTCATATATTACCATTACCTGATTTTGGATAGCGCTGGAACATTTTTGTGACACCCTGTATAACTTTTTCTAATAAATTCTTAAACTTCATCATATCGCGAACATTTTAAGACCCTGAAGGGGAAAAAGCGGTTGAAATATTGAAATTTTTGTAATATCGAATATCACCTTTTCATATCTAAAACTAGGTAATTTTTGGAGAAGTCTATACTATGTACCAGGTGTCCCACTAAGGTCGGCCAGGTACGATATTATGGAAACCATAGACCTTACGGCTTCGGGATTTTTTTTTTCTTCACTAAATCGGCCAAGAGAAATTGATGGAAATTATTTTCAAGTTTCTAGGATGACCGCTAGGGGGCGCAATTACGATGATATAGCTAAAAATTCATCTTTTCTCAAGAAATCGCTATATTAAGATACTTTTTTAACAACAGAAATCAAAAGTTCATTAATTTTTGCGCCAGTTTGGTTATTAGGCTTTTTTTCGTATCTTCAGTAATAAGGGTGGGGGAACCTGGTGAAAATTTTTTTTTAGAAATTGCTGTATCTTCCATACATTCCTTCCATTTAAACTCATTCAATTTGGGTTTATTTGGAAGAGAATTTCATTGTTATTAAGAACACCACTTCGTTCGAGGTCGATTGTTCCCATGGCGTCTGCTAGAGGGCGCTGTTTATTCAAGATCCAGTTTTTCCTAATTTTCATGAAAAATCCAAATGGCATAATATTATTTTTGTATTGCTGTGCTTAAAGAGCAAAAAAATATCTACATTTTGGCGCAAACCGCAATTCAATATCTGCATTCGTTTTCAAGTTACGTGAGGTCTATGGTCTCCATAATATCGTACCTGGCCGACCTTAGTGGGACACCCTATATGTATGTATGTACAGTGTCCCCCATAATGTTCGCTACATATGGAGAAATTTTTTATTTGTAGGATATGGAATTTTTTCTTATGTGCGATCGATCCTGCATGTCCGATAACCTAAAAGTACATTTTGACGTTGGTCACGTGATCACTGTTGTAGCGGCAAATTCGAAAATTTAGATATAGAAACGCAAAAAAATGGGTTCAGATGGCAAAATTTCGGATAAAGTTATTTGAAAAAAAGTGATTAGAATGATGTTTTGGGGCTGTCTGCGAAAGCCATTGGCGTATCCAGGATTTTGGTTTAGGGGGGGGCTGTGCCAACAAAAAGTGGTGATAAAAAAAGCGCCGCAGGCGAAAAAAAAAATTGGAGCCACGTCCAATTTTGGTAAGGAATTTACCTGTAACATACCCAAACGTTAGGCGTCTATTTTTTTTTGCGTAGCTACAATAGTAATTTTCTCGTAGAAATTGAAGCCCGAGGCGCATATGATTAAAAAAAGTTGGCATACTTGGCATACTGCGGCCCTGCGGGCCGAAAAGTATCAAATTTCGCCCTCAAATCAGGGCGCAAATAGATGCTTTGCGGCCCTGTCGTACATAAACATAATTATTTGCATCGGACCACGAGTTTAATATGTTCACTTGAACTTATTGTTTTTTTTTTTCTTCACCTTCTCCTGAGGAAGGAAGTATGGCGGAAATTTGAGGTGATTAAGGTGAAGCACTGATTCCCTTGCTGCAGCCGCCGCTGTAGTCATAGAAAAATCTTATTAGGTATACATTGAAATAAACTTTATTTCTATTGAGAAAAATTCAACAAAGTTCATTCATAAGCTGCACTTTAAAAAAATATCAGGAATATTTACGAATAATAATGGAAAGTACGGTATGCAGAATAATTATAAAAAAAAAAATAATGGTTACTTATTAAGGCGAGTGATTTTATCAAAAATGTCATGAGCGAAATTGCTAAGTAACAAACTTTCATACCTTTCGAACATTTTGCCGACAAATTTTATAAGTTATAATATACATATAAAATATTCTCTTGAAAAAAATAGTTTGGGTGGGGTGGGGCTGCAGCCCGGAAGCCCCCCCCCCCCCCGGATACGCCTATGGCGAAAGCTCATGAAACTTTTCTGTAGCAATACCCTGTATCTGGACAGTTAAGTAAGGTGTTTTAGAACTGTATTGAAATATTTAATAAAAAACCTCACTAACGAATTTTTTCAATTGTTGTATCAACATAAAGTTATTGAAAATCTCATAAACTGTCAAGATACAGGGTATTGCTACAGAAAAGTTTCATGTGCTAGTCGAATATTTGTATTTAATCCTCTAAGAATCATTCCAATGAAGAATTTAAGTTTTTTTTACCAATACACATTAAATGTTGGTGTACTTGGACTATTTCAATAATAAAAATTGTATAATAATATTTGATAAGAGATCCATTGCTAAAAACAAGTAATTTCCTTTCTTTTGTTATTTTCCCTCCAAATTTCGCAGACAGCCGTAAAACATCGTTCTAATCCCTTTTTCCAAATAGCTATTCTCAAAATTTTGCCATCTAACCCCACTTTTCGCGTTTCCATATCTAAATTTTCGATTTGTGACTGTTTAAATGTAATGATAAACATAGTAATGATACTAGATCTCAAGAAAATATTTATCAGATTGAGTAACAACAAAAATAGGTTTAAATAATCGAGTTAACACAAGCGAGTAAAGTATACATTCTGATAATATTAGAAATATGAAAAAATCATAAATTAAATATAATATATAGTATTTTAGAGCTTCAGCCACTGATTAGAGAGTTTTTTTATTTGTGGTTAACAGTTACAATATGTTCGACTACTCTCTGTAGCTTCATGCTACATCAGTCCGGCCGGCTCCAACTGAACCGGAGCTCCATGCCGATAGATCACGTGACTAATGTGATAAGAAAAAATTTCATATCCTACAAATAAAAAATTTCCCCATATGTAGCGAACTTTATGGGCGACTCCGTATCATAACGGTTATACGAAACAATACAATAAAATATCTTCATTTTTCCAATTGACACTTAGTGTATGGACATCGTCATAAAAAAATTAAAATGCCAATATGAAACAGTAAAAATACAAAAACCGACAATGGCATAAAAAAAAAGTAAAAAATTAGAAAGGCAAAATCAATAAAAAAGCAGTTTACCATTGAAAAAGACTAGAGATT